GCATGCCACACTACAGACGGTAAGGCAGATGGCACAAGGCTGGGGACAGAGCAGAGGCCTGGACAGCCCTGGGCCACGCACACACGACCTTCTCCACAGCCCAGCCCTGGCCAGCAGGGCAACAAAATGGCCACAATGGTTGGGCAAGGGCTGCAGGGCTGCAGGGGTGAAGAAACAGCGGGGATCATACATTTCACTAAGGGTCAAGAAAGAGTATTGTGAGCCTGTTAGGATTCTTTCTCCACAGAAGAAATAATAGGCACACATTACTAGATTTCTTCACTGTGTAAACGTGTAAGATCCCCAAACTGCCACTGTTTCCTGAGGTGACAGGTGACAGAAAACTGTGTCATAACTCAGCCTCTTCTTCGTCTGCCACAGACGCGCCCTCACTTAGGAGTGCTCACCTTGTGGAAATATATGTAGCCCTGCGTCAGCTCATCTGATCCTTCTCCCGAGAAGATCACCACACTGTCTGTGTTCTTCCGCACATACTTGGAAACTAAATACATGCCTTCAAGGACAGAGAAATTGATGTCGTCAACATAACACTCCATCGGAAATGCTTTTTCTCTCCTCTTTTTGGCTTTCAAGAGCAACTGTAGACTTTATTGGGTTTTTTATGAATATGAACTGACACCCAAAATCACCTTATATTGACAAGACACCGATGTGTACTTAATGCAAAAGTAATATTTTTATGATGATAAGATAGACCAGAAACCTTAATACAACAGCACACAGATATTTCAAAGTTCTGATGGTTTTAGACCAAGGATGCCCATCGTAACACTGTGCTAAACTAAATGACACATGTGCTTGAAAATCATGCCTTCTACACAGGCATTGAACAAAAATAAGGGGCTGAAAGGACCATTTTTTGAATACGTTTTGTCACTGAGGATTCAGTAGTAGAGGTCTGATGCAGTATGGCAGTGGTGGACCTAATTGGGACACCTAATTTTAGGGGTGCTACCTACCCTACAGGCTAGGACAGCTGCTATCCAGAGAGCTTACAGTTATGCAGGAGCCCCTGGTTCCGTCTGGGTTTTCTCTGAACTCTCTCCCTCTCACCCACACTCCCACTGCTACTCTGTCTATCCCAAGGGGACACAGCCAGAAGTCTCTATCCAGAGTGCCATGAGGTGTGGGCACGAGCACTGAGCCAGAACTATGGGCTAAAGAAACCTTCTTAGGCCTCAGGTAGTTCGCTAGATATTCACAGTAACAGTAACATCTGCTTATTTGTACATAAAATTTCACTGAAGCTGAAGAAGCCTGATTTATTAGAATATCTGCCCTGGGTATCCATTCTATCCTTCTTGAATCCAGTGCCATCTTTGCACATATTTTTCATCATCACTCCAAAGTGTAGTGTAGCCCTTTCAACCTTTTTCCTAATACTAACCCACCCCGGTAAATTTCAGTAATATACTGTATACCTGCTTATTTACTCTAATGTTCATGAGATCCATAACCAGTGTAATGCTAATGGGGTGTGTGTGTTTGTGTGTGCGTGTGTGCCACAGAAAGACCCAGAGATTGAATTTATTTTCGCCCTCCAGGCACAAATCCAACAGAGGAGAGCTTTACACACTCAGCAGTAAGGCTGGATCTGCTGGTTCAGAATACAAATCTAGTATCAATGTTTTACCAGAAAAACTAATACTGTCTGCAAGACAACAGTAGCCAGTGACTGCTAGGTTGTGTGATGGAATATTTACAATCTCCTCCTCTGAGAAAACTAATTATGCCATAGATCTATTTCACATTTCTTTTTTTTATTTTTTCTTTTTTTTTTTTTTTTTTCTATTTCACATTTCATACAGGCCAGTTATTCCTTTGCAGCCACGAGGGTTTTTCTAGGGCTCATTTTAGATGGCCAGACGACCACACGCCCAAGTCTCCATTGTACAGTGGTACAGCACTTACACATACCTCTATGTGCACACTCCTTATGCAGGAATGCAAGGCTCTATTATGCTTTTTCATTGCCTATATATGGGCATGCCTTGCTTTATTTTGCTTTTTTATTGTGCGCCACATTTTTTAAACAGAAAATTAAAACTTTACGGTAATCTTGCATCCATACTGTAGCACTTTTTCAAAGAAAAATTAACATTTCTTAGCAACAGTGTATTTTATAATTAAGGTTTACACCACTTTTTTAAAAAAAACTTTGTACAGGGTCTCACTACTCAGCTCAGACGCATAGTAATTCTCCTGCTTTCAGCCTCCCCGGTGCTGGGGTTACAGAAGCGCACCACCCCGCCCAGTCTTGGCCAGCTCACCACGCCATAGGTGGGGCCAGCATGGCATGCGGTACCAGGGATCAACCCCAGTCACTGCACTAGCCTAAGCAGGTACTTAGTCTGCTGAGTTAACGTGCCAGCCCTTCCAGATTGCTGGGTTTTTTTAAAGACAGAGTCTTAGGGGACAGCCAAATAGCTCAGCAGATTAAAGCACCTGCAAGCAAGGTACAAGGGCTGGGGGTTTGATCCCCGGGCCTGCCGTGCTGGCCCACCCCCAGGGCACACTGAGACTGCGCTTGGCAGTGCGCAGCTGTAATCCCAGCCCTTGGGAGGCTGTAAACAGGCAGATCACTACAAGTCCAATCTAGTAGTGAGACCCTTAAAACCCTGTAGACCCTTCCCTAAAAATACAAAATAAAAATAAAAATAAAGATAGTCTTGCTGTATAGTTCAGGTTGGCCTTGAACTCACTGAGTAGCCCATGCTGGCCTCAAACTCATGATGATCCTCCTACCTCAGCTTCCTAAGTGCTAGAATTATAGCACTCTACAAAACTCCTTCCCTGAAATAATGCTACTGCAATTCAGCAGTCCTCAGTCCAGCATAAACATGATTATTGTAGGCACTTGCAAACTGAAAAATGTGTGATTAATAGCATTTGCATTACTGCTGATGTCTGGAAGGGAGTCTACAATGACCCTAAACTCTACCTCTATTTCAAATATCATAAATTACCTAAAGCCCATAATACAATGTAAGCACTATATAAACAGCAATTAGGCTATATTGCTAAGGAAATAAAGACGAGGAAAGGAAACTCTGTATGTGCATAATTCAGATGCAAGTTGATTTTCAAGTATATTCGTCTTCAGGTGGATCCAAGGATTTTGAACCCAGAAACATGGAGGTGAGATAAATGTTCCAAAATTAAGCCAGAACACCTGGGAGGGGAGAGGCCGTATGTATCCACTACTTGGGAAAATACAAAGGATGATATCATATATGTGACGGGTGAACAAACTAAGTGTTCCCTACAGATCAGAGGCAATTCAGGGGCTTAAAAACAATTAGCCACATAGGAATTCTTTGTATTCATGCTTAAAAAATGTCGCTGAAATGGCCTGCTGTACTTTGCACAAGCAGTGCCCCCAAAGGCCCTGCAGTTGAAGGAGGCTTCCTGGCTTGCTGCAGTACGAGAAAGTGGGGAACGCCCTAGCAAGTAGGGCCTGATGGAAGATGCTGGCCCCGCTGCAGGCAGCCTGCTAAAGGACACTAAGGGCCCCCATAGTTCT